TGCATCATAATTGTAATGGTCCCCTTCTATTAGATTTAACAATCCAGTATCAGGCAAGACAGAAGTAAAAAGAATAAACTTCTAATGAGAGATAAAGGACCATTTTACACAATTACACTGAAGGAATATGGAACTGATTGGAACTTAACCAGTGACCAATTGCCATTGAGCCTGGTGAGCTGATGGACTGAAGACCACCAGGTTCCTTAGGGTGTCCATGGCCATGACCTTTAGGGGCAGTTCTCTAGGCCCTTATTCCAAGATGCCTATGGGTTAGGTTCGAACTGCCAACGTTTCTGTTTGCAGCCAAGTGCCCAACTATTGACACCACCCAGGGACTCCCACCTCTAATTTATATGCATGTTTAGGCTGCTAGGTGGAGTCCTGGGATGGTGCCATAAGATAAGCACTGGCTCTCAAGGTTGGTTTGATTCACAGGGTCGACAGTTCAAACTCACCAGCCGCTCCTCAGAAACCCTACACTGTGAGTTGGAACCAACTTCACGGCACTTAACAACAACAACAACAAAATGTTAATAGGCATATATATATATATTTTTTATTAGACAGTACTAGAGTACAGTTAGTTGAAAAAAGCGTGGAGTCCCTATCACCCCCCACGGCTTTTTACAGAACTGGTACTCCTATATAGGAACACTTGGTGGTGGTGGTTGTGTGCCGTGGAGTCGGTTCCGACCCATAGCGACCCTGTACAGGGTTTCTGAGGCTGTAAATCTTTACGGGCGCAGAAAGCCTCATCTTTCTCCCACGGAACAGCTGGTAGTTTCCAACTGCTGACCTTGTGGTTCGCAGCCTGATTTGTAACCACTACATTACCAGAGCTCCTAGGGCCACTTAACAGCAACAAAATTAGGATGACCAGAAAATGAGGTGCTGACTTATTGCCCCAAACAAAATACTTATTAGTCACTAGCAAGTGCCATGGATCTGTAGCATAAGCACTAGACAGCAAACCATAAGGTCAGTAGTTCGAGCCCACCAGTTGCTCCATGGGAGGAAAGATGAGGCTTTCTGCTCCTACAAAGATTTACAAGTTCAAGTTTTCAATGGCACTTAACAACATCATTGGTCACTATTTGGTTTCCTTTTCTGAGGCTGTTTTTATAACCCTTTGGTAGACTAGTCTTCCCTCTTTGAACTGAAGACCTTTTTGTTAACACAGTCTGGCCTTCTGTCTCCTTACAAGTTCAACAGAAGAAGACATCTGTCACAATAGTATGTGACTTACCAACAGTGCAAGCATAGTCACACCACCGAGAGGTGCTCTGAGCTGGCGTTTCCTGCTGTTAGGGTTTTAAAACTGTGTGAACACTTTTAATATATTACAACTCCTCTGGGAACGGGCTACTTCTCTTCCCACTTCAGAAAATGTGTAATGGGACTTTGTGTTTCCATTTAAAGTCCCTTGGAAGCGGAAATCTTTCCCTTTAGAAGAAATAAAAAACTGGTAAAGAGGGAGACGAAAGGGAGAAATGAATTAAGCAGTCTCCAAAGCACACAGACTCAAATGGGAAACTGCGACCAAAGCAAGCTCCGTAATAGTATAATGACGTTTAATGAGTGTCTTGGGAAACAATACAGACCGTGCATAAAAGACAAAGGGCAAAACCCATCATGGCTCTGCTGACACTAATTCAAAATGATTTTCAGAACAACTCAAGAATGTAAGAGAAGTAATCTGATCCACCCATCTGACCTCGCTTTGATTCAAGGGCCCTTCTCCTGCCATTTCTAATTGTCAGACCCTCTACATTTCACATCTGCTCATATTTAATGAAAAGTCCAATCCCACCACTGCTCTTTGAGTCAACCAGCTCTGTCAAATGGGTACCACCCAGCCCCACCAGCAATGAGGGAAGCCCAGGGTTTGCTATTGAAGCTTTGCCAGCGGAATGCTGCATAGAGATAGACACGTTTTAATCAGAGAAGAGGGGCTTATGTGGGTGCATGAAGGAGCTCATGTTGGAATGGATTTTTCTAACTTATTATTGATGGTCAAAGGTGAGTGGTCTCATGCAGGGACGGATGAAATCTGTTCTTGTTTGATGAAGTGACCATGGCAGGGAGGCTGATGAATCAGAGGGACACCAAGTCCCTCCAAGCTGTCAGGGTCAGTTAAGGCATCCTCTGTACAGTCTAGAGCTCTGTGTTTTCCATGGCAGGGCTGAGTTCTAGAGGATAACAATATCATTTCTGTGATGTAGCTGGCAGGACAAGACAATTCCACCCCAAGTGTTTTCTCCTCTTGCTTGCTCCTGTACTCCAATGAAATTGCAGAACTAAGAAATCCCTCAAATAGTGGTTTCTCTTGGATACAATGAAAATCAAACACGCTGGGTGCAACGGGCCCCAAGTTGGGGACCGAGATTTTGCTGTGATTAGTGTGGGTGGCTACTGCCAAGACTTGACCACAGACCCTACGTCAGAGCCAGAGTAACCCCTTCCTTTGTTCCAGTCAATCTCTGGACAAGATTTTCGAGCCCAGTGGTTATTTGAGGACAGAGGAACACATCTTGACCAAGGAGTTGCGCCTTTGGCAGAGTGATGGGTGGCTATCTCTGACACCACCAAAGAAAAGATGGCCCAACTCTGCTGCCACAACTCACTGCTTGGTCCAAGTTTTGCTCTTTTTCCACAGCTCCTGTCTTTAAATCTGATGTCTTTCCACACATTGCAAATAGATAACTTTTTGATGTAGTTGTGACTTAGGCCATCGCGAGAATACCAAATGAATTAGAGAGAACCCTTGTGGTAGGAATAAAGAGGTAAAGATTCGTACTGAGGCACTCACTCATAAACTCCCGTGGCACTATTCTGGAGGAACAATGAACCATGAATCAGAAAACCCCACCCTAGACTTACGTTTTCCAAATGCCTGTACTACAGCTTACTGCACAGAGCACATCTCAGCCTGGAGCTCCAGTTACAAACAGCAGTGCCCAGCAAGGTACACCAGTCCACTATGCATGGTACACAGTTACAGTTCCCGGTCCTGCATGCTTCCAATGACCATTCTCATTGGGACCACTTCTAGCATGAGAACAAGCGAGTTGACCAAATTCATTTTTCAGGGGACCAATTGCTTAAGAGTTAAGGGCTCTTCTTTCTACTATTGTCAGTATACATTAACTCCAGTTGGGTATGGAAGTGGTCACACACACAAAGTGTTGGTGCTTAAAAGGGAAGGATCATCCCTTTTAAGTAGGAAATGTCTTCCATTCTGAATATTACAAAAAAAAAAGTGAAAATAAGATGACAGCCATTGTGGAGGAAGGTAGAATCTCCACTGAGTAGTATCCAATCTGTCAGGGTGGGGCTCATAAAAGGAAATGCAGATAGGTCTCTTGGGATACAATAGTGAATAATTGTTATCAGGACTGATTGTGAGGTTTGGAAATGTAAAGGTAGACGTTTAGTAGCTAGGAGGGGAGTGACTAACTTTGTGGTATAGGAGCCGAGGTCCCTGGGACCATCAAGGGAGAAGAGCGGAGAGCGGGACCCTACCCAGAGAAGCAGTGATGTCAGAGATGAAGGCAGAGCCGATGATGTGGAGAGATGGAGCAGCTGGGGAGTTTAGACACAGAGAGGGAGAGGGGCTGTGTGCTGTCGACTGGGGGTCAGGCTTGCAGGGTGTAGCCTTTGGTTGGTTGACGATGCATGGAAGGGATTGTAACCATGGCAATGAAATGATATATGCTAGGATGAATGTAAAACTAATGGTCTCTCATGTAAACTATCATATAATTCACAATAAAACATTTAAAAAAATAAATAAATAAGATGACAGCCATATTTGAAAACTTGCAAGTCCTCGCACAGATTCACAATCTCTTCTGCCCTTGGACAAGAACCACACCCTGTGCCTCAGTGTGCAAAGTGGCGTTTCAGGAATATCGAGTTATAAACTACAGCAGTGAAACACGGTGCAAGCCACAGGGTGGGGAGGTCTTGGGAATGTGGCACAGATGTCAGTTTTGACAGCTACCAGTTACATGGCCTTGGCAGGTCCTCTAACACTACTGAGCATGCAAAAAACTAAGACAACAGACCCAAAAGACACGTGCTATCGATTCAAAGAATCACTGAAATTCACAGCTTACATTGTGTTTTGTTTTTAGTCAGGATCAGGATTGCTACAAGAGACTTTACTTTTAAAAGCGGTTGTGGGGAAAATAAAAGATAGTAATTGAAAGATCCTTTGAATAAGTCATATTTCTGAGAAAAGGCTCTAGAATCTACCAGCCTATAGAGATTGGCAAATTTAGAATACATTTTTCACCCAAGAATTTATGGGAAAATCGGGCATTGAAGGATAAGGATAAACATTAATGGGACCCAGGAAATCATATGTAAATACCTAATAGGATATAAACTCTGTCCTACTTAATTGTTGTTGTTATTGGGTCTGACTCCTAGTAAGCAGGTATAGCGTTTCTGAGGAGCGGTTGGTGAGCTTGACCCATCGACCTTGCGGTTCAAACCGGTTTAACCTGCAGCGCCACACCAGGACTCTCTGTCATAGTTTAGAAACTATCTAAAGTCACTATAGACAATTTACGGTAAAGCTGGATTCCTGTCACTACATCCTCTTTCTTCTCGTCAGTGCAATCCATAACGTTTCCACAAACATTAAGATACATACTTTCATGTATTTATGTTTGGATCCAGTATCGGATATGCTGTAACATTAATTAGTTTCCATTTCCATTTATTTAGGAGAGAGAGACTATCACCAGAGTATCATATATCCCAGTTCTGCACACAATTACAAAAAGCACAGTGAGTTCACAAAACCGGAAGGGAGGCAGGCCTTCCTCACACAGACACAGAAACAGAGGCAGATAGGACACCACGCAAGAGGTTACACTGGGGAAAACGCACTAGCCCAAAAGACTCACGGAACCACAGGCACAACACAAGACGGGGATGATACCACAGACAGCACAGACGTGGAACTGCATGTGTCAGATTAAACTTACAGGCACAGAAACTGGTGGAGCAATCATTAACAGAGACAGAAGAAAGTGGGAAGGTTCTCCCAAGGGTGTCCACGTTACCACGCACACGGCCTGACATGCACGAGCAGTCACGCTCAGAACGTCCGCAATCAAAACAACATGCTCGTCTCATTCTCTTGTAGATGGACATCTTAGCTAGAACCATGGGGTTGGATGGGAGGAGAGGAAGAGCGGTAGTTAATGGCAAGGTTACACACAACAAGGCAACTGGAAGGGAACTGAAAGGATTTAACACAGGTCTTAGTTCATGTTAACAGTCTTGACCCAGAAAAAAAAATGCAGAGTGATTATTCATAACAGTTTGGTTGTACATCAAAAAAGCAGTGAAAATATGAATTGCTTCTATAGTTCCCCTAGGCTATGGCATATTATTTTTCTCCCTTTGGAGAAGTGAGTGACCACAGGAAAAGCATATGACTGATTACAATTGGGTTCTTGGAGGAGGCGGAGGAGCAAATTAGAGACAGTGAAAACGTAACCAACAGTTTTTTCTCCTGGCACAATTAATACAGAAGGGTAAAATAGATACATGGCTAATCAGTTAATTGCTTATTTGGTACCTTTTTTTTTTTGCAAGATGCAAAACTATTTCATACATGGGCTTTCTAATTTCCATTCATTTCTGGGCATTAGGCAGAGGCTGGGACAAGCTTTCATCCAATTAGATGTGAAACGATTACGTGTTAATATAGAATCTGAGGATGCCACTGCTGAACTTCCCGAGGGTGAGCTTACATGATGCCTACAGGAATTTAAATTTACTCTTGACAGAACAAATATCCAAATCTGTCCATATAAGAAATGCAGCTACTCAAGGCTAATGCTGCGTACTTGACATTAAAGGCAGTTCACAAATAAGAAATCACCAGAAGCATATGAGATGTTGGTCTATTGGAATGCATTTAACTACTCATGGGTGTATTTTCTGCTTAAAGCTGAGACAATCTGAAAATTACATCTGCCTTTTCCTCTTCACCCACCAAAATTTCAGAAAACCACCAGGCTTCTGGTTCATAACCTTTTTTTCCACCCTCTCATAATCAAAATCTGGGCCAGAATAGAGTCGATATTACAAAATGTAAAATAGGAGAAGAGATCCATTTAAAAGACTGAAGTTCCATGTAGCATTAGTAGCTCTTCTAAAGCTACGTAGGTTCTAGGGATGTAACCCAAGGGCTAACCTTCTAGAACAGTTTGGACATCACGGTGTAGTTTTCAATGCTCTTCACCTTTAATCCTTCAAGCCAATTTATACTTCAGCACAAGAGAAGCATGTGTACCTCAGTTTGATGCTACAACAGGCAAACATGTTTGCAAATCACTTAGCATGAATGGACCTGCCTTGTTTGTTTTTTCCCTACAGGGTTGGAGAACTCATATTTCCTCCAAGCATCCCAGCCACACAGTAAGCCTTAGCTGGAGAGGTGTTAGTTCTTCAGTCCACACCTTCCATTTGGAACATCTTTCCCCTCTCTTTCTTTGTGGAGAACGGTTGTTGCACTGTTGCTTTAAAACATGACTAGTGGATTTACCCTCTTTGAATGTCACAGTCACCATTACCTGGAAGAGGGGCTTAAATCTCTCAAATGGGTCAAGTCCTGTTCTAAGACCTTTATGACTTGCCATACACTTGATTCGTCAAGCAAGGGTGGCATTATGGTTGGGGGAAGAAACAAGTACTGAGGGAGATGAATGAGAACTCTCTTCAGCAGCCACTTCATTCCTGTACCCTTGGCTCGTGTTTTCCATGACGTGTTCTTTTCACAATTGAGCTAGTCAGGTGTTTGGATCATCATGCATCCAACTTCAGCCCTGTGCTACACCATTTACCACCCCCACCTCCCCCCCCCAAAAAAAAGTTCTGCTATAGCATTTGAATCAGAGGAATTTAGAAGGCATGGTACAAAGGTCTGAATGGCCAGACAGCTCAACCAAACAAACACACAGCCCTGATTAAAGTCAAGAGATGAGGGAGGGAGGGGAAGGCTTCAATTGAAGATATGAAAATACTTCTCAGTGTATCCAGATCTGGTGGTCAACGTGGAGACCACTCCCTTGCTTTTGCTTTCTTGTTTTTTGACTAGAAATGTTGATTTGTTATATATACAGGAGGAGGAACATGAGAATGACTTTCTCATTTTACCGCAGATAAATTGTTTTGAGAAAAACTTTAATCAAATGCTGTAGCAGAAGAGAAGCCCATCAAACTCTGATATGATATGCTTCTAGCTAGCAACAGTCCCCAGTGTTCATCTCCATTCTGCCATTTTGAGTCCATATACAATAATAGAATCTGACACATTTATGGAGGGTGGGGAAAGTTTATATATATATGCACACACACCCTCTTTAAGGACAAGGGGAGGATAATGGGGGCAGAATAACTTTTGAAAGTATTTTGTCAGAAGCAAACTCATCATAATAGGCAATTTGTACCTCCTACTCTGTAAAGGCTCAGAGCTAAGCACAGTGTTAAACCAGTGCCTCTCAGAGACAGTCTGCAACTGTTATTGTTGGCTGCTCGGGGGCCCATGCATTGTTTTAAAATGTCATATTGTTAGCATGCAGGAGCAAGCTGAAACTGGTCACTGAAGCAGCACAAAACCATTTGCTAAAAGAAGATTCACTGTTAATTCTAAGCAGTCACATTCCAAAGCAGCATATGCGTAAAAAGGAAAGCATGCCATTACACGTCATTCCTTCCCAGTGGGCTTTACACTCACACAAAATACAATATAGAACTCTCAACAAGACAAATAAGCACTACCACAAAAATAATCAGCAAAGAATGATCAATGAGAAGCCCAGAGGACAAGACAGAAACAGTTAAATATGACTGAGCCCTGCACATGGACAAACCTTCTGAATCACTGTGGCTAGACCAAGCTGAGAGGATGACTCCCTCCTTCAATGTCTAGGAACAGTCCACTTTCTTTGCCCCTCAGTCCTGGGTCTTAACCTCTATAAATTCTGGGTCCAATCTTAAATGTTAAGACCAACTTTGACCTCAGTTCTGGAGGGTATGTGGGACTTGAAGGATGTGTAGCAAAAATTTCCTGGGGCATTATAACAAGTCTAGGGCAAGCTCTTTAATGAAAAACTGATGAGGATGTACCTCCCTAATGGTCTATGTAGGCAGCCTGTGTGGAAAATTATACTTTTTACATGGAAAATAGAATTGCATCAAAATTCAACCATAGACTCCCCCAAATTGGAAAACACCACCCCCATCTCCTCTCGCTTCCTAATCCCTCAGTTTTGTTTTAGTAAATCGTGGCTATACTAAACCACTTATACTTTATTTCCTTTTTTTCAGTGACTGTCTTCTTTTCTAGAGTTGGTAGTTAGAAGGGTTGTTTCAGAGATCCCGAAGTTAGGGTTTCACAAAGCAACACTGAAGGTTTCTGTATTCATTCAATATGACTTGGCAACACAAAGTGCCCCTCACTCCTTTTGTGTTTCCTTCTTGTTTTACGAACATTGCTCTTTCCAAAGCCCCAAGATTTTAGTAACAGGCAGTAGATCTATGAGGACATCTAGTGGACAAGTGTGGAAGAGCAGCTAGTGAAGAGATGGCCCGAACTGGAAGGGCTTTCTCTGAATGGCAGCAGGAGTAGCCTTAGCTGTCCCTAGGAGTTGAACTGTATGCTGATTCCTTTCAGTTTGACTGCTTTGCACGATCCAAGGGAGATGCTTAAGGGCACTGAAGAAGAAAGAGTGACAGATTCTAGGAGCTGGTCCTAGGATGGTCAAACCCTTTTTGCAAGCCTGAGCCAGTCCAGAAAAGAACCACTTCATGAACTGATGGCCGGGTCTCCTTGAAGTTCTCTTTCCTCAGACAGGAAACAGACAAGAGTGTGTCCTGAGCGGCTGTGCATACTGTAGCTACTTGTCATTCCGTCTTAGGGTTCTTGGAAGTTTATGCTCAATTAATTACACCCACAGGCAGACTTAACTCTGGGAAAACAGAATATGTAAGTCTCTTGGGGATGCAGTTTTGTTACTGTCCCATGTCACAAGTTTCTTGTTCTTGGAACAGTGCCACATATTGAAATAAGATACGTGGTTGCCAAGAATGAGACCCAAGATCTCGCCTCCCTCCAAACTTTGTCCTAACAGTTTTACAATTTGAGGCAAGACTTTTATATGTTTTCCTTCACCACAAGTACGTGACTATTCATCCAACAATTCTATTAGGACTTCCTAGTACTATTTATAGAGACAAAATTTAAAGTATCTCCCTAATAGGCTTCATCAAAGCTCACTGTTTACTCTTGCGTGTCTAAACACGCAGCTTTCTTGGACAACTTTCTCTACATTTTCAAAGGTGTTGATCATGGCATGAAAAGCTACAGAGAAATAGCCGGTCCAGACTTAGTAACTACTCTTCGCTTGAGTCAAACTCACAGTCAGAAGACAACCTCAGGTTTTCTGCTGGCTAGCTCTTCCGAGTCAACTCTGGAATGGAAGACTGTTGGATTCTATCCTAGTCTATGTTCAGCACCATCTGCCTTCTGCATAAGCAACCCAATTGTTCAGCCAAATTCTAATTTCAGAATCTTAATTTCCAAGGTGGATTGGAAGGGTCGTAAAAAGCAGAACTTGACTGAGGGGTGAGGTGGAGTTTTCCCACTGTAGGGGGGATCTATTTTAGGTTTCAAATGGAGCAAATGAAGACTGGAGTGGTAGGAAAAGCTGTCATGATTCTAGTCACAGACAATCTTCAGATCAGAATCTCATGTTTAAAATCTAATAATGGTGAAGTCCAATAAAGGAAGGATAATTTCCACAACTGAATCCTGAAGCTGGTTGTAAGATGCTAGGCAGCAACTGAAATTATAAATAAAAATGTTCATGCAAGAAAAAGTCTATGAAGGTTTAAGGTTGTGGCATTTGTTTGATAGGAGAAAATGTTCTTTTCAAGTCCGATAAATTAGGAATGGTGTCTTCACTTAGTAAAACTTTCCCCATTTGCTTCTGGAGGAAGAAGAAAGATCCTGCCGGTGGTTTTCCAAGAACAGAAAAAGGGAAAGTGAAAAAGCTAGTTACTGTCAGCAGCATGGAGCACACAGTGAGGTGATTCTGCCTGCAACCATCATATTCTGCAGAGGGAAGGCAGAGGATTTGGCACTAGA